TATTTATCTGCGACTTTATCTGCGTTTAATTTGTAGTTCCAGAAACCTAAATTTCTTTTTTAAACTTATATCAGCCTTAATAATGTGAAATGGTAGTTTATACTAACATTATAGGGAACAAAAATTTGATTGTTCATTTGTTTGCATTGACATGTTTAAAAAATCTTTCACCAACGCGCAACTAAATATCTAAATTGGCGTGAAAGCGTAACAGACAAACGGAGGGACTTCGTGTTTATAATACACGTAGTAGTGTTACCCTGATGATTACATACTTAGAAGTAACAGCTGGCAGGTTATTGTCTCTTGACCACATTGGCAAAGAGTATAAAATACTTCAACCAATTCAGCCGACGTATAACATTTTATGTATGATTTAACGATCTTTTTAGTGAATGGTTTCTCTAACTAAAAGTTCACCGTCTAAAAGGAATATTTAATTTACTCTTTGATATGGGGTTTTTTTTGTAATTTTGTCGTGTTTAATTCAAAAGGAGCACGTTTACGATGCTGAAGTTAAGCAATTTTAGCAACGGCCGGTTACGAGATGGGTGACCAAAAAGTATTGGAAGGCACATTAAAAAGGGTTAGCTCAACTGATCAGGCAAATTTTTATAATCAGTCCAATATTTTTGGAGTCTATTCAATGCAAATAAACAACTAATAAAATCTTTCCCTAAATAATATAAGTAGGTATATAGTAAGAAAATATTGATACAGCGTTCTGAATGCAAAATTTATGAAAAATAATAATTCAACTACAATGTTCGAAGCTTTAAAACCGCAAAGCGTTCTCTTCAGTATAATCTAAGATGCTATACTTAGCCATATGTAGTGGTAAATCAATACTATTATCTCAAAACCACTATAAAAATGAGTAATACTACCAACGAACTCGACAATTCTGCGAAACACTCTGACCTTTATATGGAAATTGCAATTTCAATACATTCAAAATAAGGCTTAAATTTATATACACGCCTTCTTATAGACTAGTCCTGCTTTCAAAAACCGGTACATCAAAGAAAATTGAGCTATAAGCCCTTAATAACACATCACACAATTCTATAGTACGAAGCGCTTTCAATTGTTTACGCGTTTATTGGTTATTGGTTTTTATATCCTTGAGATAAGGTTGTTTTTTGATGGTGGCAAATAAGTCCTTTCTGTAATCGAGCAGTTTAGATGCTCCCGCGCAACTTACGGTGGCGGACGGAAATCTTAATGGATCCTGGAACCCGAACTAACGATGGGATCCATCGATCCGATATCGCATAGAGCTAACAAAGTGTTAGAACTGTCTTATAAACAATTATGTATTTTCTCTACAAACAAATAATGAAGCTTAATATAATATGATGTACTTAGCATTTAGTACTATGATGAAGCTTATTGTTTTTATCCAAGTTATATTAATAAAATTTAAAAATAAAACACTTTTAGTATCAAACAAAGATCGTGATATGTTTATATAAAAAATATGTTTAAATTAAAAGCAAGTGAAATCTGCAGTGTTTTATTACAAAATATATTGAATCCGTTATCTTATATTTTACTCGTTTCTCTACTTATCTCGGAAAACTAGAAGCAATTTTGCTTAATTTGTTATAAACGCCATCTTGAATAGTGAAATACCTAGAAGGATTTAGGTGTGGTAGGAGTATAATGGTAGTAGCTTGGCTAAGGCATTTAGAATGTAAAGGTAATAAGTCAACACAAAGCGATTTTCTATCAACAAAAATTCAAAAAATTAGAGATTTTTAGAATAGTTTTACAATTGAAATGAGAAAAAGAAGCTCTATTAAAACTTTCTTAGGTATTTATTATTTCATTAAATTACCATTTATTTGTAGGTCTTGTAGCTAACAAGAAAGGAACCAAAGCAAAGCTCTGTACATAGTCGAAACGTTTTATCCCATTTTATGAGCACCTCTAAACATTTCATAGGTCTGCATGTCATTACGCTCCATATTTACACAACCTGCGCGGGCGCATACTCGGCCTAACATCATCAGAGTATGAAAAACTTTATATTGTCAGATAATTTATTTTGTAATCATAATAGCAAAATTATTTTTGTATTTTATCTTCAAAATCAGTGTGTCTCTCTTAGTAAAAGTTTCGCTGTATTATTGATAAGATCGCTATAACGCACAAGATATGACACATATGATCATGTCGTTTGCGAAGTGATTTCCTCTTTAGAGTAATTCATTTCAAAAGGAAAAAATAGGGTAGGTTCGATCGCACTCGCACACGACGGGTTCAGTACCATTGTCTACTATCACCGGTTTACGAGAAACATCTTTGTACCTGACCGACAGCGGAGTTTTAGTACTAGGGTTCCGGTTTTATTCTTTGGTTACGGATCACTCGGGTGACTTGACAACTACTGGACTAAGTGATATAGAATTTGGGCTACATATGCAAGTTGTTGACACAAAGCTGATATGCTAATTAAATAAATTAACTAAAAACTGTTTTGGGTTACCCGCAAAGAGGTTTAAAAATTAAAAAAGATTTTTTATTATCTTAACCTCCTTGTTAATAGAAACCTATAAAGTAAATAAAAAAAGTACATATCTTTAAGTCAGTTAATAAGCTATAATGGAATCTAATTAAAAGAAGGTTTACAGTGATGATTTTATCATTAATTGCTAGTTGACAATAGTACATCATTATTCAACTGAAAATTGGCGAATAAGGAAGCAATAAACGAATTAAAATGAGGAAAAGGTCTCGCTAAGTGACTTCCGAATCGATCATTACTTAGTAACTTAACCGTTAAGTTAGAGGCTCTTACCATTATTTGTACTTGTCAATCTAAATTTAATGGTAATAATTAAATGATTTTGCTGCCATCAAAAATTACACGTTCATTGATTACCGATTATATCGTTAATTTATTGTGATTATTGATTTTAATACTGTTACATAATTATTTATTTAGTAATGCTTTTCATTAAACAATACTTAGTTTTTGCGAATAACTCAGCTATATTTTTATATGAACATATATTTTTAAATTTTCTTATATTCTATATTGAATCACATCTTATTTACCTCAGACTGGAGAATTTATTTATCATTTACTTTACAATATTTGATGAACACATAATTATTTGAAGGATAGTTTTGTCTGAAGAAAAATTTCAGAAGAAAAAGAAAATATTCAATAATAAATAAAAGTTTGCATAACTAATTATTACGTAAAATATACGTTCAAGAATAAGATAGGTTCATTATGCCGATCCGCAAACATCTGAAAATATAGATATATTCACGCGGCTTTGCTTCTGAAATTACAGCCTTCGTCAACCGCGTATGATTTCAAAATCTATTAAACACAAACAATCAAATTTTTTCTTTTTATAATATGGGTATCAAAAAGCTACTATACCATTAATGAAAGAAAAAATTCACCAGCGCCAGATACCCCGTTAAGGGACTCGAACCCACAACCTTTCCCAATCAGAGCGACTGCTGGCCATTGAGCTACCCGAGACCCAACAACCTGAGGTATTTTATTCCATACTTATTTACTGTGGAGGGTATTTTCATCAATATGTTAATCCTTCGATGTGTGTTCTAATATTTAAAATTTTCATCAATATATTAAAACCTTCGACGTGTGTTCTAAAATTAAAAAAAAAATGATTATATTAGTATTTATCAGTATAGCAATGTGAATGCAAAATTTATGAAATTTAAATATAACCACCAATTCTAAATTTGAATTTGTTTTGCTTCGAAATAATTTTCGAGTGCATAATTTTCACGACACCTAAATGAGCGACGGTGTCTGTTGATTTTTCCTGCGACCTTCTTAGGCTTTTGGCGGCAAAAACCAATATCGGAGCCAATGTCAGAGCGACCATGCGCGTCGTTGACGCAACCGTGGAGAAAAAACCGAATAATCTAGGTAAATAGCGAGAAATCAAACGGTTACCAAATTGATACTGTCGGACAGTGGAACGACATTGTAATTTTTATCACTAGAATATTTTAAATGTTTATTTAAAATTGGATTTTGCGACATTTCGAATCGTCTAAGAAACCGTATTGGGTATATTCGCACGGCGATTTTATTTTGAAATTCAGTGCGTTATATTTATTATTTCTAATGAATTTTGCATTAATTATCAACATCATAATAGCCATATGAGACTCACTGCTGAGCATAGGCCTTCCCTATAGATCTCGCCGATGGATCCTTCGCTGCCCACATCCAACCGTACAACCTTTATAAGATCGTCAGTCCATCTGTTGGAGGGCCTACCCTGCATTCATCCCCTAAGCATCATCAGGTATATTCATCATAATCATCAGCGCCTTAATGCCCTCACTGCTGGCCAGTCCTTCCCTATGGATGGACTCGAATAGGGACACACCACACAGGCACAGTTTAGATTGACAGGTGATTACAACTATGGGCACGGCCAGTAATAAGGCACGAAGGAGCTCAAGATAATTTTCGGTTACTCATCCTATAACCAGCCTTTACGAAATTTAGTTAAAAATGTGCTATAAAACTCTTTAACCGTCATTCTTCAGTCACTTTACACTTAACCTTTACAAACTATACACTAAAACATTACCCATTCATTACTATTTCTCTTAATATAAATCGCATGAAAATATATCGCATACTTTTAAAGATAATCGCTTTTTAATCTATTTTATATATTATAAGGAAGTGAACCGATGTATTTAATTAAGTGTAAATGCCGAATTTGGTGAATATGATATAGAAAAAAAAAACGGTTCTAGGAAATATACGTAAAATATTTCTATGGGTTATTAAAATTCTGGTATTTGATAACGCGGAAATTTCTATAAGCATCAGACATTCTTAAACATTTGATTCAATGCAGTGTTATTAATAAACATTAGCTCGGTGGCGTAGTGGATAAGCGCCGCGGCCCGCGATTGTTGGCGTTAAGCAACTTTCGCAAGGGCCGGTTACGGGATGGGTGACCCAAAAAAATAATTGTCTCGAGCTACTCCGTGCTTCGGAAGGCACGTTAAGCCGTTGGTCCCGACGACTGCAAATGCAGCCGGGACCAACGGTTAATACCCTCCAATCCGCATTGGGCCAGCGTGGAGGGTCATGGCCCATCCTCCTTAACCATCCATAAGGAAGGCCTGAGTCCCTGCAGTGGGGACGTAAAAGGGCTGATGAGGATGATGATATTAATAAACAAGGTTTAGCGTTGGAGTACATTTACCCTGAGACTGCACTTAGTATTAGTCAAAATTCATATTATTAAACAGAGACTTAACAAAGGTAAACTAGATAAACGAGGTTCTACGTGAATAATATTTATTCTTGGAAGGTAGTAGATTTGCTTATTCTCTGTGTAATATGAATTTGGACTATTACTTAAATTGCAATTTTAGTATAAATTTAAATCTGGCGCTAAAACTTGTTTATTAATAACACCGTAAGAGTTCCCGTCTGATTAGAATTCATTTTAACAAAAAAAATATACCTTCAGCCAGTATTTTCTCGTATGATCTTATGTTTTACATATAACCTGCCTCTTGAATGACTATTTAATATTGATGAAAAACGCAGTTGTTTAGTTTAAAACGTACAGACAGCAGAGACAGTTTTCATTTATTATGTATAGATTTGAAGAATATTTATTATAAAAAAAAGCCAATTCATTAATTCATTAATTAAAGCTGACGTATAAATATAAGTAATCTAAATAAAAGTGGTGCTTACTACTCGTACGAATTAACATTGACACCTGAGGCCCTATTCTATTTGTCGTCGAACGAAAATTCGGAAAATTTCAAATCGTACTTATAATTTTGTTTAAATCATATCCGTGAAGATCGTCGTTGCACCAAAGGCAGTGTCAGGTCCTACCTCCGTCCCATTATAAATTATCAGAAATTGCGTTACTATGGAGTCGAAATACTATTTCGTAAATTGATGAAATTTCGATTTACGTAGAAATAGAATAGACCGTCAGGTGTCATGTTAATTCATGAGTACGTATTAGTTATGAGCAATGAACTTTTAATATTATTATTGCCTTTATTTATGATTTAAAATAATTTAGTAAATAAAAAAATATATTAATATATGAAATAGTACTGGCATTGTCACTTTATCTTCATAAATACATTAACACTCAGTTGCACAAATGTCAATTAAAAATGTTATTAGTTCAAAGCGACATTGCCGAGATCAATTTTCAAACTTTGAAACATCGATTAGTGCTTAGAGTCGTTTGCGGCTTAGATGGCATCACTAGCATATATAGTAAACAAACAAAACAAATATATGCAGTTGACATTCGATATTAAATCCGTACAATCTGTTGCGTTCCGTTGCATAACGTGCGTCCGTTGCGTGCGTACGGACACAGTGGACGTTCACCTTTAGACGATAGTTCCGACTTGAGTGTAAACCATCTCTTTTAATAAGAGTCTGAATACATTTGAAAGTTATGAAATGTCTAGTCTCACTCGACATTCACATTTCAAATTGAAATCTCAATTATTTGACAGTATCATAATAAAAAATATACGTCCATTTACAAATAAGTTTCCATTGAGCGTTGCGATGCTTGAGGTCGTAGTGATAATGACACCGCAGGGGGTCCCGCGCTTAATGCAGCATTAAGCAAAGGAACACAAAATAAAAATATTAAATATAGAACTAATAAATTTCATGTAATAAAGCGGTTGCAGCAACTTGAAAATTTTTAGGTCTCCTAATATTAAGAAGTCGAGTAATATTTGGTTTTAGAATGTGATTGATTGGTTAAAATTTGATCGAATAAAAAAAGTTTTTTTCATAAACGTCTATTGAAGTCAGAATATATTTTTTATTAATTATAATAAACACAATTTCATTTTCATTTTTAATATTTTAGTAACAATTTTAAAAAGAGCTCGATGGCGTTATTATAAATAAGTTTTAATATTGCTCAGGTTAAGTATTTTTAATAGAAAAAAGATTTTGTATAGATAGTTGACCAAAAATGATTTATCTTCAGCTCATCCGTTCCAGTTCGTACCAGTTTCATCTGCATTAGAAACCACCTCATAGAGCCTGCGTGATAGTGCACGGACCGTTTTTCCTTGCATTTATTTGGACTATTATTTTGTTGGGGGTAATCTTCGAAAATACTACACCGATCATGAAAATTCTCTCACGTACAGGAAGCTATATAATTTAGGCAGGCGATATAGCAGGAAATTTTCTAAATTATATAAATAGATACCTAGACTAGAATACCTAGTTGTTGAGTCATTAATGATGATGATGAATCGTGATGAGTTAGAATTTTGTCATTTTTACACGGATTCCGCACGTGCCAGTTGAAAGAAATATTCCTACAGTAGTCACAACTTTTGATTTAAGATCAACCATAGCGCAAAGAAGCGAGCGACCATAACCCACTTAATACTAGGTACAATCTAACCAACGTCCAAAATAAACCTTATTACCATAGATTAAAAACTACGCGGCGGTGTCTTCGGACAATTTTTTCCGGAGTGGTTTTTTCTTTTGTCACCCAAACCGTCGGAAAAAAAGTTGGAAATCGTGTTTCTGGTGTTAAAAAAAAAGCATTTAATATTGGCATTGAACTCGCTCGGATTCGGCCGTAGAAATTCTGTGTAAAATGTATAATTTGGTCGCGCGCCGCCCGCGTTACCCGGGCTAATGTCACGTTTCATTACTCTTTCGAAATAACTACATAGTTACTTTTATTAGGTAAAAAAAGTTTTTATGTACCTTGTTTCATAATAAGAAAACCTTCCTCATCGATCCCCAAAATATAATAATCCAAAAGGCCTATAAGAGAATATTCTTAATTAAAAATCCACTTTGCCCTGGTACTCTGAGATCTTTAAAATATAACAAACCAAATTTTACTATCGAATTTTAAAATTCTTTCACCTACTACAACTAAATAACTACTGACTAATCATAAGCGGTTGTGTGTATTTCTAACAGGGTTCGCTGATAAATAGCAACGGAAATAATCATAATATATATCGATTGAATAAATTAATTGATATTTATAATATTTATTGTTAATTTGAGTATTGAGTATTCATTCTCGGCTACAAAATTAACCAACCTGATGTGACGCTAGCAACATTAGCCCGAAGTAGCAATCATACTTACTAGAAATATCGGATTTCCCCCAATACGTTACTGGAAATCCTCGCTTATTAAATAACTCAAACTCAATTTATATTTTACACTATTGATTTAAAAGATCAAATATTAAATAAAGCCACTGGCAGCTCATAAAATGCAGATTTTATATATTTATCCGATATAAATAGGATAAAAAGCAAACTTTGGATATTTATTATAAATATCGGATTTTTACGAACCCTGATTTCTACTAACATAATAATTAAGTACAAACAATTGTTTATGAACAATTTTATTTGTACCACTTTATTTTTACTACATACTATTATAATTATATATAAATTACTTAGTTAAATGTAAATGTAGGTTTAAAATTGAAATATGTCACTCACACGTCACGTTAAGCAAAGGATTGGGCTATAACGAGTCGTTACGTGGGATTAACTAATCGTTTTGAATCTTAACAATTAAATTTGAAACGGGTCGTAATTCTTTAACGTTTTGGTAGATTAAAGGATTGTGTATCTCAAAATATTTAAAAGCCATTGCCAGTGCATTAATCAACGCACGGTAAACTAATTACTATTTGTTGTCCGTTGTGTATTAATTAAATCAAGTAAAGTTAAATAAAAAAAGTCTTGAATAGTATTATTCGAGACTTTGTCCCAATACCCACCAATCCGCACAGGGCCTGCGTGATAGTTTATGGGCCGTCTTTAAGGTCTTTAAGTGATAACGAATACCTACATTTTATTGCTTATTTTTTAAAGCTGAACCATAACGGGACATATTTTAGTTCACTCCAGTCAAAGTGATGCCTTTTTCATTCAATAAATTCTCATAATCTCTATCTAAATATGTCACTCAGACAAGTGATTGACTTTATAAGTTTAGTGAGCTGTTGTACAGCATCTGATGTAGACATCAATTCCATCTCGAAGCTGAAGAATTTTTAAGTATCTTCCTTTAAGATATTTATCAATATCTATACCTTATATTAAAAGAACAAAGATTTCACTTAGTTTGTTAGTTTGCATTTAAAAGGGGCCGAAAGTACATTTTCAATTTTAAAAATTATTTCACCTACGGGAAGTTACATCACATGAATGAAGTCGCAGGAAAACAGCTTAATGTAATATGTTTCTTAATAGAATATTGTAATATATTCTTAATAATCTCGAAAAATTTACTTGTCAAATAATCTAAAATTTAAATTGTTATTCTTAAGTTTAAAGCATGTACAAAAACAAACGAAATTATATATTATATGTACAGAGAAAAAACTAAAATACCACCCGCAAAGACACCGTTTTCAAAACAAAAGAAAAATATTTAAAACAAAATAAAAACTCTGGAAGATTATTTTAAAAAATTATGACCAAACAGCCATTACCCGCTCCCGCCGCCGCAAAATTAATCTTGCTCGGCAAAAACTATATCTTATTAGAGAAAATCCCACCCCAAGGCGAGCCCTTACATCCATAGATAAACAGACAGAATGTATGCCTCCTATTAATAATAATTTAAGGGTCGCAAAAAGTGAGGTCGGCTAGAATTTTGCGTGAAACTTTTTGTCGTCAATTTTCACGTTTAAGAAAATTAGTCTGTGTCGCCCTACGGTGTCTGTGGTTTTTTCTTTTGTTTTTACAAAATTAACTAATCTGACCGTTTTGTCAGGCTGTAGTTTTTTTCTTTAAAATGGAAAAATAGATCATGTATCTTAAGAAAAAAAATATGTTTTCACGCTTTATATAGTAGGAATCTTATGTCGAATTTAATGGTGCATAATTTTTTGTCAGAATTCAGCTTAATTTATCTATCAAAATTATTTATACAAATTTTAAAAAACTATACACTGAAATCTTCTTTGTGATTTACTGCCTTCTCTTGTGAAAATCCCTTCGGTGGTTTTGTTATTGTTTTTCTGTGCTCTTAAACAGCGAATGTTATTACATATCTATGTTATTCGTTATTCATTAAATAAACTTGCCGAAACTAGTTTCTTGCCAAAACGAATGTAGGGACTAGTCCCTACATTTTTTTAAAATACTTATTCCCGAGTTTTACTAATCGATATAACATATTCATTGTAATGACAATGACAATTACAAACATCATTTTACTAACGTAAAAATGTAAACACACCCCAAAGAAAGATTAATCGCCAAATTAAATGGTCAGTTACTGCTCTCGCCCTTATTAGGTTTAATCCTATCGTTTGCGACCTTCTTAATCTAGCCATCCAACCTAAAGCCTTTGTCAGTGAAAGGACAAGCTTTGTCAGAATCGGATGAAAATATTTGAATAAATAGTCTTATTTAACTTGATTTTTTAATACCTACTATGTCGATGAAGTAATAAAGAAAAACACAAAACGACTATGTAGTAAAGTATTTTGATAATAAAAAGATTTAATACAGGTAATGCAAATTACTTAAAGTATATTTTACATTTATATTTTAATAATTAATCTCACCTAAAGGTTTTTGCCTTTTTTAGAGTACAAGCAAAAAACCAATAAATCATTCTCATATTTCTATTGAAACAAATTGTTTAATGATTTTGTATTTTTTGCGTTATTATGAGTTCTAAGTTTGATTTTTGGGCCACAGTAATTAAACGTTTCATTAGTAATTAATATGCATATTTAAACAGTTTCAAAAGTACATAATAATTTGATTAATTGATCTATTCGATGCCAATTTGAAAACAAACCTTCATCTCATTTAAGTTGTATTAGTGGATTGTGGAATTGGATTCCATTTTACCCTTTATTTAGATGAAAGTCTGGCAAGCGACAGTTATCAATGCACTGTTTGATTAGTTGTATTTATTGAATTCTATTTCAAACACTTGACAAATGTGACCTAATGTGCAACCTTGTGGCACATATGAAAGACTCTAAATCATAACTCATACCAAGAACAGTTTTACATTGACCGAAATGAAGCCTGACTATTTCTATGAGGCGAGCGGAAGGTGCGCCACACTCCAATTTAACACAGATTCCTTAACCGAATCGATCCTTCACGAGGTCCTATTAAAAGCCATCCAGTACCACGAATTTCAAACTTCATACCATTAGCCGCCGGTCCAAACTTTAATTATGTTCTGGCTGTGACCAATTGCGTTCGTGTCTCGTTTTCTCACAAGTCATGCAACGTGCTACCGTGTCCTGTACCTAACGCGGTACACCCAGACTCGCAGACGTCCGTCTCGACATTATCATCTCTATCACCATCGAAATTGAGTACTAAATCGTCGGAATAGTAATTAATGCCGTTTCATGAAATAGGTACAGCATCAAACGAAATCCGACCGTCATCAGTATTAGATGATGATGTAATTTGAACCCTATTTGGTTACACGTCAAGATTAATATCGTACCGATTGTTGTTATTATAAAATTCGATTGTTGCATCAATTTTCTAGTCGTGTAATAGCAATGGTGCCCGAAGGAACGCGTTCCGTACATTGATTGTTGATGAATAAAATCTATCGGCGGGATGACGAGCCGGTTTCGCTCGGAAACTAATTTGGAGTATCACAATGACTATCAATGATGTTCGGAAACAGTCTTTTGAATGTGCGAAGAGTATCGGCATTACACAATAGACGCTACTTTGTGGCACGTGTGTTTTGTACCCGAATAAATCTAAGCTTTAAATATACTGTAAGATCAAAATTATAACTTCATTCCATGACGTATAGTCTTATTTTTTATTATTATCTAGTCTTCAATCGAACAGTTTCTTAAATAATTAAATAGATTCATATTATGTATGTTAATTTGTATCGCGTTTGTTAAAAGATGAATTTTAATTAAGTATTTGTACGAAGGTTAGTCAAACTATACAATTATATACAGAGATTTGATTTAAGAGATGCATCTCAAGGAAGTGGAGGCACGACGCGTGAAAAACGGCATGACGGTGGCATCCTGTCTTTATATATTAGCATCTTCGTTACTTGAGCAAATAAAAAAGTCCCTTGTTTAGCTCAGAGAGCAATTTGTTCCGGCTGCCGCGAATGTCGTTCAAGGGCAAAATTCACTTTCTGGTTCTTATGATCAATCTTTGGTTAATGTTGTTTTCGACACCATTGGAACTGCTGATGATTTTCGTGATGATGTTTTTGTAAAAACCATTTAATGATTTTAATTGTTATTATCCAACGCGATGAAGATTGTTTTGTATACAAATACAGTATGATGAATAAAAAACTACCTATTCTCTGTTTCCTTAATGGCAATCGTTAAAGCTGCCTTTGACGTAGTTTTATTACAACAAATGTATAGTTCTTAATGCCGCGTTACTTATAAATGTTAATTGTTATCAATATTAAATAATATTTTTCTATTACTTTCAGGTGTTCGGGTCAAAGGCGGACTTACAACTCCACACCCAAATCCACCTTCGCGAAGCGAAACCATATCGCTGCACCCAGTGTCCGAAGGCCTTCGCTAATTCGTCTTATCTGGCGCAACACTCACGCATCCACCTCGGTATCAAGCCGTACCGCTGCGAGATCTGCCAACGCAAGTTCACCCAGCTCTCCCACCTCCAGCAGCACATTAGAACCCACACCGGTGACAAACCCTATCGATGCACGCAAATCGGATGCACGAAAGCCTTCTCCCAACTATCCAACTTACAAAGCCACAGCCGTTGCCACCAAACTGATAAACCGTTCAAATGCAACTCTTGTTACAAGTGTTTTACACACGAAAAGGATCTGCTAGAACATATCCCGAAACATAAAGAATCGAAGCATTTGAAAACACACATCTGTCAATACTGCGGAAAAAGTTATACCCAAGAAACGTACCTTAGTAAGCATATGAATAAGCATGCAGAGAGAGCCGACAAGCGGCCACCGATTTCGGCGTTGGGATTGAGTGGATTAAATAGATCACTAGCAGCTGCAGCGCCTACAGCCGCGCCGTTCGCTGAACACCCGTACTGGCCCAAAGTGAGTCCAGATTCTGCGGCTCACATGTCCGACGATGGCGGCTACCACCAGCAGCGAGAGAGTGATGACCACCACGAACAGCAGCTCCAGCAACAGCGGGCGCTGTTCTCACAACACGAGAGCCAAGACGACCGCATCCAACCACCTGTTTCATCCGCTGCCAATTCAGCATTTACTCCGATCAACTCGATGGCACCACATCTCAATGGGCTTTCGCATCATAGTGCACTGCCCACTAGACCGTACTTATACGATCCCCTGCATTTCCAACAAGGCAAACAACAGCCAAATTCCTTCCCCAACCAACTGATATCATTGCACCAGATCAGGAATTATGCTCATCAGCCCTCCGCACTGCTGCCAGCGGAACACATCCTTCCACATGCCCTATCTCACAAAGACAAACAGTAAACCATTGCCGTTTACATAGGTATGCCTACTTTAATACTTACGATAGTATTACTAGTATATAAATAACGAAATATTAATTAAAATGTTTAGAATCTCGCTCTCGAAGACAGTGGTATTAATGAATGTATGAAATACGAAATTTGTTTTATCGTTAGTGAAACGACTTCATGTTTTTAGACTTAATCGTGTATGAATACTCTGAAATTTTGTGAGTAGTAAATACTGGTTTTACAATGTGGTTCCGGTTATTTTATTGAGGGACATTACACTTCATAGATTAGTTCTCGCTAAAGCGGGGAACCTAATGATATTGTAACGGATGAATGGTCACCGGTATTAGAAGAAATTGAAAGCCAAAAATGTTGTTACCTCAGTATCCTTTATCTTTGATCAATCATTCGTTACGACCAAAGCTACTTCCACTGCTGCTTTAAAGAAAACTAATCCCATGAGAAGTTTTATAGTAAGGCCTAACTTTTGCGACCTGTTTCATTTAAGAGCAGAAATATGAAAATATTCTTTTGTTCTTTCTTTATCCAGTGACTATTATAACGGTAATATATTGCCGTGTTATTAATGAACCTCTGGTAGGTCATAATTCGTCGATATTTTATAGCGAACATTTTATTTTTTGAACATTTTTATGATTTGGTTAATTTATCTATTCATTTACATCTTTGTTCTTTGAACTCGTAATGAAAAATATATATTTTGTTAATAATTCAGATGGACTTTGTCATTTTTTAATCGACGCATTTTTTAATCTCTGAACATAGTGACCAGACTTTTTTTTAGTAAAAATGTTACTATATTCGTACTAGAATATGTTAAAAGTTCCTGTTAAAGAAGAATATTTGTAATAGTTGAAATAATTAGAAAAAAAATCTTGGAACCAATTCATCTGAGTTTCTGTCGATTGCATTTTTATCGTATAAGTACCTACTTATAACTTAACACAGATCTCTCGAACCATCACGTAATATTTGCACTCAGTTCCTAATTAGATCATATTGTATCTTTTTATTATTTAGACTTATTTCCATATCTATTGTAACTTCAGTGAGTATTTTAATTGTCATAACTAGTAAATGTCTACCTTCATCATTTGTATGCTTTATTTTTATTTTAAACAAAATTTTAATTAGTTACGTTAAATGAGGGTTTAGTATAATTTTTTTTTTTCATAATAATTGTAACTACTTCCATTTGTATAAAAAATATTATTGAGTGGCCAAATTGCTTCGTCTCTTATCTCAATGGGTACGATGAAGGGTTGCACATTTTGTAAATATTTTGTAAATACGAAAAGTTTTTGAGAAACCTTGAAATTTATTGAAATGTTTTTTTTTGTCTCTTTTACTTTAGTCTAAAAATGCTTATGCTCAATTATATTAGCCGTAAGAATATCCTGGTATCTGGCAAAATCGGAATTGTATTTATATGATGAAGAGTACTTAAATATTACATTTCCATTCAGTGGATGTCTTACAACGATTTATTTTTAGACTTGTTTCATGTATACGAACAATTGTTATTTTTTTTAACAAGTATCTGTTTAGTAGATAAAAGAAAACATAAAAATGTGATAGGGAAAAGATGGATCGTGGAGAATAATATTTTTGGAGGTGACATACTCTGTTCTTTCAATTGATTTGCTATTTAAAGAAAAAGCTATTTGATTTAATTTTTAAAATTGTTAGGTTGTGGTTAATTGTGATTTAAGACGTTCGATTCCGTAGGGATCATGTCGAAACTGTCTGTCGTGTTGTCACAAATTTAGCCAAATGCTAATTATTAAGTTCTTGTATAAAATAATAATGTGTTGTTAAAAAAATTATTTACGGCAATACTTAATTCTTCCGAATTGTTGTTATTATGATACATGATTAGAGGGTGCACATTTTTTAAATGTAAATTATGGTATATCGATTACATGACAGATTATACGCGGTAGTATTTTTTTTTTGAGAAATTTCCTTGGTAATAAGAAAAATACGCCAATATCTCTCTATTGTAAGTAGAAATGTGATATTGTAATTTGATTTTTTTTTTTGTTTTAGTTTAAGTGTAAACTTATTTTGATTAAATACATAATATTTTTGTAAGTACATAATTATGTTTTAAGATAGATTTGCTTTTCTAGCCTTCCCGGCTTAGATTAATAGGAGAAAATGAAGGAAATCATTTTTTGTTACTTAAAATTGATTAAAATTACAACTATGCCAAGAATAAAGTTTCTTTATTTTTACCATACCTTATTTACTCTTTTCTGAAAAATTCTGAGTCAGTAACACTTGAAACACATGAAAACTGATAAAAGAGCTGAGCAAAAAAATGCGCGTTTCATCTTGCTCTCTTCGATATTAAAAATGTACAACAGAGTCCACGTAATACCGATTGTTGATTTGAAGAGTCAAAAATGAGACCGCTACAGATACTATAATTCATGGAAATAGCCCAGGATAAATATTAAGTTGATGCAACTTAATCGGTTCATTAATTGCGGGTCAAATCGGCTGTGAGATATACGGACAGACATGAGTGATCTTGAGACTTTTCATGAACTACATATTCCATCTCAAAAAAAAAACACTTGTAAACTTTCCTTTTTTTATTTAGTTAACAGTCGCAAAATACATTATATTAAACACTTATGATAGGTATTTACAATAAACGGGGGTCATTCCACCTACGTAGGTAAAACAGTTCATCCAGCACAAACCATACAAAAATTAGAAAGCGTGACACATAAATTAACTTATAATGATGATAGAAATTCAAAATTGCAACTTACTTCAGATTCTAATGTCAATGAAGACAGATTTTCTGACAAAACCCTTTAAAATTCACAATTTCAAATTAATTTCACGGAAAAATACTATATAGATAATGATACAGCGATAGTAATAAAATGATTTACTGTTTAAAATGAGATCAGAAAATCAGTCCAAAGTTCGATTGAAACTCCAAAAACTTTAGGTGAATTCATTCAGTTCTCTAACATTTACTTTTACCTAAAAAAGCGTTGAAAACTTTCAAATAAAATTTAAAAATTCGCTTAAAATTCCTGGAATATAAAAGAAATAAGTTGCAATTTAACCAACTTACATAATAGAGGGAATATTTTATAATATTACTTCATATGTATTGTCATTTAGTCGCCCTAAATACTAAACGAAAAACATAAGTAGATTACTCAAAATGACAATGGTACTAGACTCTTACCTCGCATGTTATAGGTACTAAAGTGCCCAAAAATATAACGCAAAATAATCACAAAATCATAGGAACAAGAAAACATGTTAAATATAAAACGAATTACGGGAAGATTCTATTGTCATTTTCATACACTCAGAGATCATTAGCAAAATCAAACATGTTATAGAACCTTTTCTATAATCTCGAAAAGAGGATACTGATTATAAATACAATAGCAGCATACGAATATTTTTATAAAACTGACTAGACTTTCATAGCTCACCGCTTAATAACAATTTAAATGTATCTAATAATATCTAATTTCAATGAGCACGATTAACAACTTATTATACTTAAATTACACAAAGAATACAGAGCACGCGAAATAAAAATAAATGATAGAATGGACTAAGAAAATTATGCAGATATAAGTGCTGATTTGGTTGTTAAGCTACTAGTACTAGTATTGATTTAGACTTCGACCTTATAGGGGGAGCCAGGAACGTGCTCGTCACCCCACTTGACGATGACAATGTAGTCTCCTCTGTCCCTGACGACGTACCAGCATTCGTAGTTGTTCTTACCCTTGTGCTTCAGTTGGACTTCATCACAAGGACCTTTAGGACCGTAGATGCCGACGTAAAGAATGTTGTTGCCTGTAAAATAAAAACCATTATACCATTAAAATTGGAAAATTTTAAAACCGTTTGTTCCTATTTCATAAAAGTAAAGTATTAATAGGTTGGGGAAAAGTTTCTTCGCCTTTGATATGAAAATTGAAAACATTTTTTATGAAGTTTATTTACATTTAAATAAAGTATGTAGGTACCATTTTGTTCGATAACTTTTTGGTATCTTCTAGGTAGGGACATGACCCATTGCTATAGAAATTTTTAGGCTTCTGATAAAAACTGCGGCAAGTAGTTTTATCAGTCTTCGCGTGATGTTAACCTGACACTACCTAATAAAATTTTAAGAGACTAAAACATGTGGAAATCTGAAGGTGCAAGGACTATACGGAGAATGCATTAACACCTCGCAGTCAAACTCTCTTAATTTTTGCTGAGTGAGAAAAGAAGTGAGGTCGCTTTCTCTAAACTTCTTGCTTTAATCTCATCAGTTATTCACAGTAGAGTTCAGAATCTATGGTCCTGCCTAGCGATAACAGCTCATAATGAATAATGCCCTTTCAATCCCACCATACACACAGCGTCACCTTGTTGCGAGTCAATCCGGGTTTTGCCACAGTCTGTAAAGCCAAATTTCCGGACTGAAAACGTTTAAACCAAATTTGCGCTACTCTCATAAAATGCATTAGGTCCATAAACGCCATAATTTTTTTCGCGGCTTGCTTTGCATTTTGGCCTTTTTTGTAATATAATTTTATTATGTATCGAAATTTTTCATTACATTCGCTCATTTTAATACTAAGAAAAAGACCTTCTTAAAAAATTATACTTTTTAATGATATTGAAACCAGCCAGATACAAATGGTATAGCCAGAAAGATTTTATTACAAGTTTATGCATCCTATATGGGAAAACAGTTTTTCCTCAACTTATTATACACCTGTAGCTTTAGAGATTACGAGTTTCACGTTTTGAACAATAGCATTAATTATACATTTACATAATTGCCTCTAATCTTAAACTACCATATAACAACTCTTCCGTCTAAACGTTACTTACTTACTAAATTATTAAAATTCTGCAATTCACATGAAATTAAGGGAATCACTGTCTAGTTTTGTAAATGACTGTTCGATAAATTTAGATTCATGTTCAGCTGTAATATCATAATTGTGAGTTTCTTGCAGGTTCTTCTTAGTACAAAGTCCATAGATTAGCAAACTGATGGCTTATAGTTTTTCAACTTTTGCTTACAACGACGTAGACAAAATAAAGATATTATAAGCTTACCCGCATCACCAGCGTGAACGGTGAACTGGTTGTGTTTATTCAGGTATGCCTTCTTAAGCCCCATTCCTTTTGAGACCACTTTACTAGCGTCAGACTTAAAGTGTGGCAACACCGGCCCTTGCTTCTGTCCCTGCTTGGAGACTTTCTGGACTGTTTCCACTGTCACTGATGAGGTCTCCTGCGCACCAATCTCGGCAAGGTTGGCACCTGTGTTGGAACAATTTATTTATAAATATTAGACATCATCAAATACATTGCTCAAATTCCAAAATGAGTAGCTTAAACCCTCGTATTATGAAGTATCTAAGACAACGATGGTACGACAATACCCAAACCCGACGTAATGTTGAAAAGTTCATTTTCATAATTTACCCGACCGGTATCAAATCCGGTAAACTTGATACCGGAACTCAAATCACTGCAACTGCACAGGTCGTCAATTAGGTTCTTCAAAGTAATAAAGCTACCCAAATTTATCATCGTCAGTTTCTTAATGTCCCCATTTTTATCAAAAGAAACACTTGTGGCGATAAGTCTGTTCTGCACTACTCAGAGTCCTTAAAAATTCTTAAACTGGTCAAATTGGGGGTGGGAGGGGGTTCTACAGTAGATGTTCCAGATCTTCGATTTTTATTTTAATTAAGCCTAACATATTGTAGTGACGCTATTTTGTGAGACTGTGCTAGTTCTCTGGATAAGGGCTGAAAATCAGCACTTTGCTCCCTGATCCAAGAAATCGTTGAGCTTTTACCTTTTCGCACCACTGCGGCGCACAAGTTGAAGCGGGTTTTACTTTTTTTTTGTAAAGAATTTAACAAATGAATTAACTATCTATATATATCTCTTCTATTGTATTTAAACAATTTTAATTTTCCTCAACAATATTAATCACAAGTAACATCTTCAAAATTTAACAAAAAAAATTTTTTTCTGCTGAAGACAAAGCAATTTCATTGTCCAATCTCAATTTTAACAGGTTATCATTATCCAAAGCGAAAAGAACAAAAAGACAGAGCTAAACTTCAAGCCAAACAATGCAGAATTATACTATGCACGTACGTAATTAATCACGTTTCACCAAATTTTTTACTACTATAGGTACTTAGGTGTCACGAAATTTCACTTTATAACTGTTCAATATATTTTTTTTTGTTAACATTTAAACGAAAACAATGGTGCGAAATAAAAAAAAGAGCAGCGTATACCAGTAAAGTACGCACTTATTGTTTTATCTTGTCGAATTTTTATTGGTCGTTGTGAAGCATGCTGAGCCCTTTTATGGTAACTCAGGGGAAATGCGTTTTAGGCCTCAAATCTGCTATGGTATTGTGTCAAAAAAATATTCTCAAACTTGTCATCGAGCGCAGATTTCGCACGTCGTAGACCTTTAATTAAATAAAACCTTTATTACCTTTTGAATTAAGTTTTATTTGATTAAATAAGTATATCCTGTAACGACTTTTATAACAGAATAGTATGCAGAGCCAACTATTAGAGCCAACCTCAAGCGGCACTATCGAAGTATGGGGAAGCAAGACCTGGCTCTGAGGGCACCGATAAATCCGAATCAAAAAATAACCTTAACCCTAAGCTTAGTTAAACTCACACCACATCACATCGACATCGACATTACATAAGAACTAAATACTGTTACGGGGCGCCGCACTACCGTTTATTTCATCCTAGGTATCCGCATCCAAACTTTTTGTCTTTGATCTTCAATCATTTATTTTTAATATTAACTTTTCGTTATTTGAAATTTTGAGTAATCCAATATGCTTTTTATGAATGTCAGTTCGTGAAAATTCGTCGAGTTACAAACATTATACATACTTAATTTCAATCAATAGCAATTTGTTGTAAAAAAGTGTTAAAATCTATTTATTATTACCTATTTCCATTATGCTTATAATTTTGAACTCAACAAAAATATATACTATATCAAATCAAATACAATAAATTTAGATTACTCACCAAACCCGAAGAAAAGGATTTTTGTTTACCCTTTATTAAATCAAGTTCTCAAGTTTGGTCAACCTTTTATTCATTTGCCTATACGTTAGTTAGAACGCTTTGAACTCCAAGTTGCCAGAACAAGGTCTTCTGCCCTATTTTCATTGACATAGATCAATCGACCGATGGTGATAAAACTTACCAGTAGCTTCAACCTTGAACGGAGAGCCGACGATATGTGCACCATTGTACTTTATACTCATGTAGTAGAAACCAGGTGCCAACGGTGTGTATCGCACCTGAATAATAACAATGGTACTTTTATAATTGTTAAATCAAGTCTTTATAATTTTTAATAATTGACAAAGTATCAAACACTATTCCTTTTTTATAGAAATTATTTTTATATTGAAAATATAAAATTGTCTTATCGCTATAGGATAAGTGAATTATTTTTTACACTCAAAGATTTTTTATCGCACAAGATTGTTAACAGCATCCTCACCTTATATCCTTCTTCGACTTCCGTGCAGTCCATGGCTACCCTCGACGGTCCATCCATGGTGACCGCCAGTATACCCGCACCGGCGTTACATGTGTCAATGATCAGATCCGTCTTTACACCTATGCAAATGTAAATAAAAAATTAATCATCTTGGTGAGGTAAAGTACCCAATAATCTAAATATATATAATTCAAAGGTGACTGACTGACATAGTGATCTATCAACGCACTGCCCAAACCTCTAGACGGATTGGGCTAAAATTAGGCATGCAGTTAGATGTTATGACGTAGGCATCTCCTAAGTAAGGAATTGATAAATTCCACCCCTAAGAAGATAAAATAGGGGATGAAACTTTATTTCAGGTATTTTACACGATCTTATGAATAAATATTCGTTAGAAATGCTGCTCAAAGTAACTTGACCAAGCGGATGAAGTCGCGGGCAAAAGACAGCCATAAAACCCAATTTACAATTTTTATGATGTATTTATCTTATAAAAATAAAAATCACGAGTCAGAGATAAATGATTTATAAATATTAAAAAAATACAAAGATATATATAGCTCAGATTTCAAGACAGGTAGCTAAAACCACAGTATTATGGTGTATCTGAGATAACAAAGGTACCTATCACAACACCCAGAACCGAGACAATATAGAAAAGTTTAATTTCTACATTGATCCGACCGGAAATTGAAATCGGGTACTCTTATATAAAAACGCCAAAAAACATAGTGCTACAAAATCATTTTCATATGTTCTATAATTTTGCAGGTTATCTAAAAATTATCTTCTCATCGGTCGGTAGGTACTTGCAATCGTTTATAATAAATAACTTACCAGTTTTGACCGTCCCTAAACCTGGACCATGAGCGTGAACGGCGGCGGGATCAGCATCGTCTTTTCCAACCTAAACGTAGAAGGGAATCTTATTAGACAGAACTTGAATCCATCATCAGTTGGATAGTCAAAAGTATTATATTATGGTAACTCAAACTAGTAAGACCCTGGATAGTGTGACGCTAGTTCTATTGCATTGAGCATTATTGTTGAAGACGTTGTTCTTATAAGAAATTAAAATATCTAGAGCAGGGTGTTGTTATTTCCTTATACTTGTGATTTTGCACTGCGACTTGGATGAAATAACTTTAGAACAAGAAATGATATCCATACATATGTTTGTTAAAGTTACAGTATAGATCAATGTCCGTAATAGCGTAATTAATAATAATGGTCCAGATGGACTGTGTAATGGTCAACTACGACCATATGATGGATATCACTTCTTGTAATGTATTTCATATTTTCTTTGAATAGGATGTGTCACGTAGTTATACAGTTCTGCTTTTAAATAGGTTTTCTTTCTTATGCGTATTAAAAGCATAATTTAATTTCAAATGACGACTTTAAGCTCTAATGAATGTTCTAAATTTCAAAATTTGTATCGATATTCTCGCTTTAAGTTAATGACAATTTAAATTTACAATTTATGCAACTGGGTGTAAGACCGCCAATCATCAACGAGAAGGAGCATCAGAAGTATAACCACTTTTAAAGATACTAATTTCAAGCTTTTTGTGGTACTTTGACATACCTTGATTCTAAGGGGTGACGCAGGGATGTGGACACCATTAAACTTGACATTTATATTGTGGACGCCGTTCTCTCTTGGCATGAACCTGATGGAGTACTGGTCACCGTCGATGTTCTGGATGAAGCAATCGTCGGTCTTGCCGGATGGTGACACCACCTGGACAAAGAAGGTAACGATAAAGAGTATGGGTATACGTTACCTACTTTATGTGCGCAGTAGTGATAAACCTCTTTTATTGGAGATAGCAAAAATCGGTAAAGTAAATACCTACTTAGCCTGAAAATAAGTCACTGAGTATAACCGACTATCATTTGGTCACTCAAAGCCTCACATCCTTGGAAATGAAATAAATCCTACTATTAGAGTGGGCAAAATGGTACATCATATTAACTTTTATAACGCATCGCGGAAGCCCAGTGGTCACTCGGCGATCTCGCACGCTTTTATAAAATATTAAACGCCTCGGAGATTTATCACTAGCCGGGGTCACGTGCGAGCGGTCAGTTTTATTAGATTTTTTTGCTCAAGAAAATTTCGAGCGGACACACTGTGCAGTACTCGCGATGAATACATTGCCTTTTTTTGTTGTTTTGTTGGATCAGTTTTCAGATAAAAAAAGTTAAAAAAATATTAACAAAAACAAGTTATCGTTGGACTAGACAACTTTACATGGTTTATTTTATTACAAAGTTCCCATTGTTAACGTTCAATTCAATAATCAGATATTAATTCGAACTAAAATCTGGATAAATCAAACGACCCCAAACTCAATGAAATGATTTCGTTTAATTAGAAATCCCTTGGCTGCCTTCCGGCTTCATCATGAGATCAGTTCCATTCCATATGACATTGGCAAAGAGTCAAATTTAGCTTGCAAGATTTGACCCACAGTAAGTAACATATTTTTTTTCAGTCACTGAAAAAAATACCACTGAACTATGATAGCTTGTTTTATCATTAACTCCATTTTTCATTACTCTGAAATTAACTATTCCTACATGCAGAAATTCCAGTAGTAATGGAAGACATTTTTGGCCCATTATCAGCACCCAGATCTTTCTTTAACTTTAATTAATGATGTTTGCATTATTTTCGTTTTCATTAATTTAAAATTCTTAATATCGCACTGCAATTGTGATACGAGTTTTAAAATAATCTTTCTTTCACGTATTTTTGGCAGTAAAAAACAAATCGTTCGCCATTCACACCCTTGTTTTAATAAAACATGGCACGTCAAGAAGAAGATAAGGAACCCCCCACCCCTCGTCTACAATAGTACAGTTACAGCCCATCTATCATAAATCTCCGGTACAGTCGGACACCGCGTCATGTTCCCACTATAAATCACTGGCCGAGTTTATTGGGCGACATACTGTTACATTTTATATATTTCGGTTTATTAATCGTTAAATGATAAATCGCAGCTTTTAATAAATAGTCTTCAGATAAAATGTTGTTGATTTTATAAAAATCCATCGCTTTACAAAAGTTATCATTACATAATAAATGTTGATTGACAGTTTTGTCTAGCTCGCCTTTAACCCTGTTGAATCGAATATACGTAGAATAATCTACTAGCATTACGACTAAAAACTAAATAACTTCTTCGAAATACGCATTGACAAAGTTCACTTTCAGTTGCATTTAATTTGCCTGTAGCCCTATAGAATTTAACTGTGCGGGCTTCTCTACTTACGATCCATCTGAAAACTAGGTTATTCAATAAATTTGCACAGTGGTCTAAAAAACCGACGAAAGTCGACAAAAAAGACATTGAAATTTTATTGAAAAAATATCCTACCAATGGAGGGGAGGGACGTCAGTCAATCTGATTAATCCATCTGAAAACTAGGTTATTCAATAAAGTTTGCATATCTGGAGGCTTATCTAGTATGCCAGTATTATGTGAACTTTAAAAGTACACAAGAAGCGATACCATACAACTCTGTACTCCACGAAGTAATATTTTATTCGTACAGGATGGGGTGAGTATTGACTGGTAAAGAATTACAATCAGATGACACGTAGTATGTAATTTATTATGTATCCTCTAGAATAATACTGGATTTATTAATAGTTTTCTATATTTATATGATTTTGACATTATCTTTTTTTATGTATTCCAAATGTTTTCCCATGATCTGTCACTCTTACTCTAGACTGGGTGGTGGCTGAAAATCAATGTTTCTCTTATTCCTGGGTGATTTACGTGCACCGAGCACCCTTATCTTACTGCTATACACAGGTATATCAATATGTTTTCTATTTTTCTTTGTTACTGTATAATTTTGTAGTTGAATAAACGTTATCTATCGTTTACTTTCGTCACATACATGACAATTAGTAACTTTTCATCTAGTAACAAACTTATAGATACCACTTACGGTTGCATTTAGTTCGCCTTTAGCCCCGTTGAATCGAATGTAAAACTGGGCAGGCTTATCCACTTGGGCTGCGTCTGGGAACTGGGCTACTTCCAACAGGTATGCATCTCCAACAGCCGGAGATATGTACACCTTGAAAGGAGAATCTGGGATATGCTGCTCGTTGAATTTCAATCCAATACGGTATTCACCTGTGGAAGAAAGAGGTTGGTTAGTTAAAAATATAATTCTAATCTGTTCTAAGCTAACACCCGGTTTCTGAATTGAGTATTTAAACACTTCTTAAACTGTTCTTAAAAGTCCTTTAAACAGGTTTTCTTTCCTAATTTTAGTTTTTTAATGATCTGTTGATAGTAGTTTGATAAAAACTAAAAATTTTTGATAATGATGATGATACAAGCTGCATTATTGAAAACCGGTTATTTCTTGCGGGTAAGAACATTTCGAGCTGAAGAAATTAGATCCACCATTGAACATCTTAGAGTACTTATCTGAGGAAGCTATTAACTACAATTATGAATTGATAACAAAGTAAGAATTAAATACACACAATCCTACTAAATTATATTATTCATACTCGTTTCCACTTGACTAAGGGGTCACCCAAATCAAACACCTAAAAATTTAAGAATCACCTAAGGTGAAAATGCATTTCACCAATGACTAGGAACCACCTAACCACATTAAGCTAAAGTTATGACATGTGTTATACGGCGCCTTGTGCTAGGCATTTGCGTGATGTGACAGATTACCAATATTTTAAGTATAAAATAAAAAAACGTTTATTCGGAATTAAACTAATTTGCTTAGACGACTCGTATAATTAGACGTTTGCTAGTAAAGCAACACCTTGTTCCAGGTTAGTGAAAACGGGTGTTAATCTAAGACTATAAAAAGGAATCAGCCAAGTGCTAACCAGATTTGTACATGGAACGTTTTCTGTACCTAGGAAAATACAAATTAAAATGACTTATAATTTTGATAATTTAATGTAATAAATAAGGTTGTAATATTAACTATAGGAACACTTGAAAAAAAATTAAGTGTGTGACTCATAAAGATAAAACGGAGGCATCAATAAAACTCTCAAGCAGAACTATAGTTAAAGAGATTATGTTATTACTTAATTAAACGGACTGAGAAACTGAAAAAATCCATTTCGTATAAAAGTTTAAAATCCTAAATAAAAATCGAGAAAAAAAAGAAAAATAAACAATATAACTACTAAATAAAACTAATTTAATACACCGGAAAAGTGTTCTAATTCTTTCAATGTCTGACGATGCCGACAAATCCACTAATAAATTTGCACAGTGGTCTAAAAAACCGACGAAAGTCGACAAAAAAGACATTGAAATTTTATTGAAAAAATATCCTACCAATGGAGGGGAGGGACGTCAGTCAATCTGAATAACGGGCTAACGATGCCTTCAATATTCCTTTCCAGGCTTGGTTGCAAATTTAAATTTTTACGTTTCTGTTATTTAGGGTTCCCCCTGTTTTGTAAAATTATATAGACTATTATCGTTACCAAAATTATAATGTACATTTATAATATACATCTACATAATATCATAACAATTGCAAAATATCTGACGAGATAGATACATAGTAATCTGTGTATCTGTTATGTCGTCACGAGCTAGCATTTTAAATATTGTGTTTTATATTTTTTTTTTGAATCTATACAAATAAATAAAACTGGAATTTGTCATACTAAAATACCCGTTTTTCACTGAATACATATGTATGGATACACGGTACATATACAAAATAACATTTATTACTTTTTTGTCTGCCAGACGTCTGTTTGTTCCGGTTAAACTAGGAAACGGCTGGACCTATTTTGACTGGACTTTGACCGACCGGACGAAGTCGCGGGCACAGCTATTGTAAAATGTAATAATTAGTAATTATTTTAATTTATTTTTACCACCTCCGTAGTAGAGTGGTTTGCACGCCGGTTTCAAGGTATCACTATCTCTGAGGTCACGGGTTTGTTCCCATTTGGATCGTGTAGAAAATAGTCTTGTCATGGGTCTATGTGTTGCGGTACCTGCATTGTCTCAGATACTCCATAATACCACGGCTTTAGCTACTTATCTTGGAATCTGAACAATGTATGTGATGTTATATTTGTTACATTTATTTATCATGTAGATTTTTTCTGTCTATGTATATCTTCACGCCGGATCTCTTGCGGGGTTAGCAGGCAAGACCGAGTGCCACAAGGTGCAGTCCTACACATATGTATATATTTCGCCTTCAGTTAATATTCTTTTTATTCGTAATTTTTAACTCATGCCCCTTTCGATAGTACACTATCAATTGATTGAGAAAATTATGTTTCAGCCGTCCATGGCTCATACATCCTTTCGTTGTTTAAAATTTTGTAATGATGTCATTCAACATTCTTGCCACATATCCGACCCGATACATGTCTCTGTTAATTTATACACCAAAACATTTCTCTCAAAATAAAGATAAAATGTCAGTATAGCATCGCGATACGAAGTTTATCAAAATATAATAGAATTAATTTGAAAATCTTTATAAAGTGCTGAGTATTTTTTATTTTCAAAAATAACAACTGCAAGTTAATTTTAATAATAGATAATCATAATTTTAAAAAAAATTTGACCATCGTGTAGATATTAGAAATTTTGAACACGCATTTTTTGTAAGATGTATAATGTAATGAGCCCCCACACCTTCAATAAATATTTATCTAGGTTATTTCTCGTTAACTTAAAAGAAAAATATATGTATTTCTATTATCTGATTGACGGTCTTTATATATTTTTTATTTACCCAGGCATTGTCCCTAGATTATAACATACGGAACTCGAATATATATTTGTATTCGTGCCCCACTAATTGTATCAGTAAAGAGGTTTGGCTCACCGGTGGTCATATTGTTGTTCCAGATTTATTTGCATCCGAACTGTGCTTTTTTCATAAGTTTTTGTAGATTGAACAAAAAATTTCTCATGTTTTTAGAATGCTTCTTTGTATTTCGGATTTGCAAGAAATTAGTTGGGGCTGGTTCCACTGTGAATAGTTAATACTAAAGTTTGAGTCTGCTAATAAAAAAAACTGAGTTTGTTTTGTAGCAAGTGTGATAAATATTTGTGCGTATTTATTTAATGGATTCCCAAACTAAATGAAAAAATAATTATGTATATTAATCCGTTGCTTAAAAATGATGTGATTTTTACCATTTTCAGTTTAGTTGGTGATTTTGTGTACCGTAATTATGCGCTAGTCTTATAGGCAAGATAAAATCAATTTTTTTTAGATCTTTAGTTGTTATTGTTATATTTTCTTGATTATTAATTTACTATAGGGTACTATAGGATTTAGTTTAGAAAAATAATACAATATTTTCCTTTAAAACTGTAACAAAGAAGTTAACTGGAGTTAAAGTTTAACAGACTTGAGTGTAACCGACCCTTTTTACTCTACCAAATAATGATGTAGGTCTGATGTAGAGTGGTGGTATTGACATGTCGCGGGTTCGATGTCCGCATGGCTTCCTCTGGTCTCTTGTTAAACGTTTTTAAGGAATAAAAACAGTGCCATTCGGGAACAGGTGATCGAATTTATGTCATCATTCAGATTTCATCTGGTTTGTGGATATAAAAAAGACCATTCGCGTAGTTTTTGATTTCTTTACGGTGTCAAAAATGCATCGTTTACAAATTGATGTAAACAAAACACAATATGATAATGTTATAAAATAAGAAACGCATAGTGAATAAGTTTTCTGTCCTCTAGAATATATTTATTAAATCGAAATGTTTACCACCAGTTACGTAATGGAACATTTAAACCTTTGCAGTAGAAATCTGCTGTCTGCTAGAACTAGACGTCAAGCACAACGCTGTACTACTAATTTCTAGTAACTGTTTAAAAGGATTTTGTATGTATTTATAATTCAGCAAACTCAAATATATTTGAATATATATTTGACTTCTCATGAGAAGCAAAGCTAGCTAGTAAGAGTAGTTACTATTGATCATCCAAGGAAACATCCAGGGCAAGCGAGGTGCAGGCAAAGAAAAGTGTCAAAGCAGATGCCACGTATTTACACTCAAAATTAACCTTTATTTGGCTTTTAGAAATAACGTCCAAATCAACTATTGAAAACTTCAAAAACGTTCATTAAAAAATTTATTTAGTTTAAAACGTCATTACCAGTAGAGATTTTCAAATTTAGAATATGCATTAGTGCTCAAAATCGTTATTAAAACTTTAAAAAAGTTTGTGTAACTTGAGGGTATTGTCACTGTCACAATATAAATTTTTCTCATCGAAAAAATAAATACTTTCTTTTCCATTATTTTCTCGATTTATTCTTGTAATTATACTCTTTTAAAGATTATTATATTGATAAATGTATGAGTCACTTTGAAGCTAAAAGCTTGAAGCGATACTTTCAGAATAATCATTATGATGTACAAGTAATTAATATAAAAATAGTCAATGAGCTGCAATTCTTCATTCTTTCTCTAACTACCTCATTGTTAGTTGAAATCAGAAAACTAAATGAACGGAATCAGTGCTAATAGTTTGGATAGAAAACTCTATGCATATTCAGGGCTTTGCCATATTGCATAACTTGAATTAGCAGATGCTACCCACAAAAGAAGAATTATTCTCATTTTGAAAATGTTTCAATAAAAAACACCCCCTATATTCGTTAGCAGTCTATTTAAACACAACATTGATATTACGAACTGTTTCTGCTGCGTTAATACATTATCAGAATTAGTGTTACACATAACTCTCATTTTCTCTCCATCTTCACCTTATTATTTTATTTATGAATTCATCGTTAAGCACAATGCTATCATAGTATAGAGTCTCAGTCAAATAAAGCCTACTTTTAAACTGTTTCATCGAGTTTTAACTTAATTTTATTAACGTTTCGGACCTTTACAGGTTCCGTGTTCACTTGAGACTAAGGTGTTGATTGTCTTTTCTATTAAAAGTATAATAATAATAATAAGCCTTTATTCAGAGAACCATTAAATTTACATATCAAATATACTTATAATTAATACAATTTCATTCTTAAATAACACAATTATCTGTTTTAGTCAGATTATTTCATTTATGCTTATTTATATCGATGTTGAATTGATTTATTTATTTATGTCAATGTTGGATTTGATATGTCAATATTTAATAATTTGTTTCGTTGGTTAACTCTGTTTGCCTTTTGGCATAGGCCTCAACCAATCTTTCCCAATTTTATTTTATTTGATGTCAATCTAATCCATGTCACTCCTGCAGTTTTTGCTAGTTCGTCTTCCCATCGTCTCCACTGCCTCCCTCTCCTCATTTTCCTATCTCTGGGTATTCGATTTAGTATCGTTTTACTCCACTTTTCTGTGCCTCTTATAATATTACCTGCCCATCTCCACTTTCCTTTTATTACTTTTTTAGTGACATCTATCATTTTGGTCTTTGCTCTTATTGTGGAATGCCTTAATTTTTGCATTTTCGAAATACTTAACATGCTTCTTTCCATCGCTCTTTGGCAAGTCCTCATTTTTCGGAAATAGGATCTATTAAGTGACGTTTGTACTTAATTTTATTGACGTTTCGGACCCTTTGCAGGTTCCGTGTTTACTTAAGACTAAGGTATTGATTGTCTTTTCAATTAAAAGTATAGCTACCTTCAAAACAATGCTGTTGGACACATTCACAATACATTTTTTTATATTTTATAGCAACGTTTACATTTATTAAAGTAAATTATTTAAAAAATACATTTAACTTGGCTACCGTAATCTCCAGTTCCAAATTTGGGAGTCTTGTCTGAGAACATATGATGAGAGATGAAGGTTGGCATATTACCACCGGCTTGAAATCCAGTAATTACTCAAATAAAATCTCAATCCAGATCACACATTGCAAAACCAAAAGATACAATAAGTTCATTCTGTAAATATTAAATCAAAGGAATCGAAGAAACTACTGACCCGATTATAAAAAATATACCCGATATAAATATAGACTATCAGCTAATAACATAGCCTATATTACTTAAAAAGGTACATAAGGTCATCTAATTTAACTGATTGCAAAATATCCTTTTTTTGTGTTGTTAAGCTGACAGTTAAGGTGTCAGTTGTATCATCACATCACATCATCACCAGCCCTTTTACGTCCCCACTGCTGGGGCTCAAGCCTTCCTTATGGATGGTTAAGGAGGATGGGCCATGACCCTCCACGCTGGCCCAATGCGGATTGGAGGGTATTAACGACTGCAAATGCAGCCGGGACCAACGGCTTAACGTGCCTTCCGAAGCACGGAGTAGTTCGAGATAATATTTTTTTGGTCAGTTGTATATTATGATTTAAATGTAGAAGTAGCAATGTGATTAAACATATATATTCATAGACTAACTAATTATTTTTGAGATTAATAAATGTTTAAAATCTCTGAATATTTTTTTTGTTTGTTTGTATTAAATAAGCTTCAAAACTTTGGACCGGTTTTCAAGAATATTTAATTTACGGGAAGTTACATGACACGCGGGTGACATAAGTTTAGGTTTACACAGGCAAAGCCACGGAAAAATATCTAGTGTTTCATGATTAACAAGCACGCATACAAAAAAAACTTCTAACTATATTATCAACAAAAGGAACAATAATTGCCTTATTACAAAAGTACAAAATCTTTTTGAAACACTCGAAAGTTGAGAGTTAGAACTCCTACACACATTCTTCAACTTTAACACTTACATGTTTTGAGAATAACTCTGAAGATTGTGGCGCTAAAATCAAATAATCGAGTAATCCCTCTAACCCTAACCCAGTGGGCGAAAGTCAAAGAGTTCCAGTCAAAAACCCGTCCAAAGTGGCATTCCATCATAGCGCTTTTGTCCTTTCAGTAACATTTGAATTCTTTTTTTAAACGTTTACTCACAAAGGCGGTCAATTAAAATGATTCTTAAACACCAGCCGAAAAGAATGTGGCCCTCGAACTGAATTTGTCCGAGCGTCCATTGTATTCGTGATGACAAAAAAATTGCACAGCATCCGACAAAGAAGCGGTGCCTTTTTGCTCCCGAATACTTCATAAGTGTATCCCGATAAGAATTCCCTGAGGTATCTAAAATAATAATGACTTAAATCTAAAAAGTTTTTAATTCAAAATTTCTGAGTGAAAACTATTTCGGTGTATTTTATGTCCAATATATAAGTGACTTTAGACACTGTGCAATTTTTTGAAGATCTACCGCGTTTGCCGTTATTACGCGACATGGTAGATGAATAATTTATGGATTGATCCGTTTCGAACTGAAATCTTAATTTTTTTATATCCGCATTAATTTCATACATAATTGATAATTTTAAGATGATTTACATCCTGTGGTCAAATTCCGCGTATAAATTATGACTCTATCATAATTTAATGGTTATAATGTATATAAACTAACATTTTTTGGTGAAGACACTTCTTTAAAATAAAACCTTATTTATAAAAGCTTTAAATCTTTAATAATAACTGATAACTTTTTCTTAAGGACCCGAGTACCGGATAAGATTATGATTCCAATTGTAATAATCCTGTTAATATCATAAATGTGAAAGTTTCTAAGTTTGGATGTTTGTCCGTCAATCACGCCGAAACTAATGAACGAAATTTGGTATACAGATAGGATATTAGCTGACTTAGATAATAGGATACATAACATCCCACAAAACATTTCCCTATGGACCACGCTAGCGAAGCCGCTGGCGAAAGCTAGTTAGAAGATTTTAAATTTAGTAAAACGCTGTTCCTTTATTATGCCTGTCAATTGATATATTTCAAATTTCAAATCCGATAGGAAATTCCATATATTTATAGGTTTATTACAATTAGACATCGGTATTTCTAAAGTGCAAAAAAATGAAAAGTGAATATGCTTGCGCCTGGAAACAGGAAGGACTGTTTTATATTTATGAATATTATCCATTTATATCCACTTACGTTCGTGCTCAATGATACCATAATATCGAACATCACAAAAAAGTTTCATTCATGGATCAGGTCATTTTCAAAAACATGCAACTTAAATTAATTAACAACAGAAAAGTTTTGACGTTTTCTATTTAGTTCACTAAAAAATATGTTTTAAAATTCGATTGGGTAGCGGTTTCGAACCGCCAAAGATGAGCCAATGAATGCGAATACATTAATACAAAGCATTTACACAAAACAGAATATAATCTCAACAAACGAAACAAAAAGTAATTTCCAACAATAATTTATGTCAGTAAAGGTTTAATTTTTAAAATTAAAAATCTATATTTTAATAATTTAATTAAAAAGACGTAATACAATGATTACAATACAATATTTTCGAACCAATACGATTTTCATTAGTAAAAATGCATCGGGAATCAACTTAATCACTGGCCATAACGCAATCGGTACATCCATTACATTTCGAAAAAAGAACACGCGACTCCGTGGTCACTTTTTGAAATGAGAAAAGAAAAAACAACAACAAAAGTTAAAAAATCAAACTGTCAAAATGGTCTGCGGTAAATTTTGCCTCGCTGCCGGCCAGTCGAGCGCGATTGGTCAACAACGCGTGTAGGCGTGGCGATATTCGTATAAGGAACATGTTGCCCTTTTATTTATGATGTGCATTGCATTTCAGTATTTATAAGGTTTTTTACGTAGTGGCTATAGTACGAGGTGAGGGCAGCGGGGGGGCATTTGAATTGTTGATTAAGCGCGTGCTTACGATAAGGCGGCGAGAATTAATTTCCCTACGGATAGCTATTCTTATTTCCATTGCCATTGCTTTTAGTGATTATTACTTAATCGTGTTTCTTAAATTTTAGTTTTCGAAAGTAAAATCCAGAACAGAGTCAAAGGTTTGTATTGAAACGTGGTTTCAGTTAAATATCACGTATGAATACAGTGTCACGATTATTGGAATACTTTTTCTATAATAATCAGTTAAGTTGAATATAAATAATATTATAATTTAGATTGAACTTAACGGATTGTTATAAAAACAATAATTGATATTTAACAACATATTAAACGGAAACCGTATTGACTTTTGATCGCATACCATCGCCTTAAAAGCAAATAAATAATAATTTTATTAAAATGACAAAGAATACTTTTACTCTTAGAAAGGTTTCCTCGACAAACTGCCCCCTGATTGTCTAATTTTAAATCCATTGCAGTCGCTTTCAGTTTGAAAGGTGTTGCACAATCATTGCTGCATAATACAAATACTTTTTTTCAACAGAAACAAGCAATGGTTATACATCTTTCAAACCGAAGCGATAGCGGTAGATTTTAAAGTTAGACAATTAGTTCCCTGCTTAGTCTATTACCTTGGCTTACTTCTTCCAGACATAATATCTCATTATTTTTTACAAGTTTCCGGGATTGGTTTTATCATAGTCACCGATTCCAATTTAAAAAATACGAATGGTCGCTCAAATGTAGGAATTTGACCACAGATTTTGGTTGTTAGGATTGTGCAGTGGCGTTATTATACCGTTTGAGTCCCGGGACAAATCCATCTGACATTCTATTAAATTTTACTAATCGTTTAATAATAAATTTTAGGAATAAAGAATCTCCTCTTACTGGGGCCCCTTCCAGCTGGGGGCCCATGGCATTTCGCCGACTTACCACCCTGTAGTTACGCCACTGGGATTGTAGATAAATTCACAAACAGATTTTGTATATCATAATACAAAATCTGTTTAGATTTATTATATTTCTTTTGTCTTTTTGATATTCATTGAAACTTTTTAATTCCTCTGAAGTGTGGTAGTAAAATTCATTGCAATTATTATAAATCAAAATATAAGAAAAAACTTACCGGGTTCGTCAACTTTGTAGGAGACGTCGCACGATCCATCCTTCCTGTCTTTGAAGTCTATCTCGGCCTTGCTCGGGCCTTCGAGGGAGATGGCCAGCTGCCCAGCGCCGGCCTCGCGCGTCCACACGTTGAACTCGTTGAAGCGGCCGGCCTCGCCTCGCTCGAGGCCAGTGCCTCCGGCCTTCACTAAGTGAGCGCCGGAGTCCCGAAGTGGACCGACGGTGAATTGGAAGGGAGATCCTAGATAAAAAAAAAATATAAACTAATCAGATGTAAAGCTTACTTTAGAAATTTTCAAAGGACATTATCTACAAACAAGAATAAAATTAAACAACATTAAATAGTATTCTTAATACAAAATGCTTAAAAAATCCACTTGCTCCCTAGCACCAAGAATAATTTGCAGTATGGCATTGTGAATGTAAAATTAATCAAAATATAACATTAAATAGACTTAACAATGGATTCAATGCAATGTTTATAATGATAAAAAATAAATTCCAAGTAGGAATACATGTTTGAAATTATTTACTATGCTATGCAGAAATTCTCAAATAATTTTGAAACGCTATAAATTACACTTACATAAAAAAAATCTGAGTTTATTGTAGAATAAAATCCAGATTAGTGGCATTTATTTTATTCATGTCGACACAATATTCTACGTTGAAAACTATTTATATCTAAACACAAAGGTCTGCGAATTAACAACATCCAACCGGATCACTTTTTGATCTCCCTCAGGATTGCCTCTACCACCTTTTAGAGCATAGTTTTTCTAAGCTACAGTAACTTAATATAACACTATAACGATTGGTGATGTTATAAGTAAAAGCTGTCGAAACTTTACATGAAGTAACTAGAAGCGAAAACCTCTTTTAGAATTTCTAAGTGTAATGAGGTTTATCCGCCGTTTTTTACAGCTAATGAACTCACCAGGAATGTGGATTTCCCTGTATTTAACAGAGACGGTGTGTACCCCCAACTCTTTGGGTACAAAGTGAACGGAGTAGAGACCATCTTCTACCTCCTGAATCTCCGCATCTTCGGAGACGCCACCGGGGCTCGTCACCGTTGCGGCCAGATCAAATGACGTGATACCTGAAAACTCCAGAATTATAACAAGGAATCCACATAACTATTCCAACTATACAATATAGTCAAATTTATTTTCAATCAGATATTACGAAATCCAGACATAATATGCTATATGACATATTCTTGTCTTCCTATATCAGAAGACCGAATTCTACTTGCCACAAACCTAGCATTCTCCCTTGATTTCCTGTATCTTGATAATATATTTTAAACAAACATAACAGTTTTAGACTTAAGATAGAGAAAGATTTTTGAAATTAAACACTCGTCGTGGTATTCTGGGTTCTACGATCTAAGATAAATGAGCACTCACACTTTCATTTCAAAAACATTTACTCTATGGATTTGCATTTCAATCTTTTTTCCATTCATAACCAAGCTCTCAGAACGTGATAAGTTCTGAGGGTTTGGTTATAAATGAAAAAAAGATTGAAATGCTGCCTAAATCGATATAAAAAAAAAATCTCCGTTCTTAGTTGATCTGGGTGATTTAAATCACAGGGTCTTTATCTCTCTCTATGTTCTGTGGTCTTTATCACAGGTCTTTATAGAAGCTTTACTCAACATTGCACCTTAAGCAGGCCGCTTAATTTATTTATTTTGAAGCTCTAGACTAGAATGGTTAAAATATATAAGAATTTCTAAAACGATATAAACTAGAAATAAATAGCCTATTTCTTGAATATTTTGAAGTAAAAAAAAGTATTTTTATCCAGAAAACAAACAAAATACAAAAGAAATGACGCACAAAATGAAACAAAATGTTATACCTGGCATTTTGAATGTAAGCTTGCAGTTAGTACCGACTTCAGTGAGAGGGGCTGGATCGCGTTGCCTCTGTATCTTCTCTCTCTGCCTGTTACTACCTTCACCGGTCACCTAACAAGAATTGAATACCGTCAATTATTTTACAATTACTTATTTTAGCAATTATAAGTATTTATTTTAACTTTAGCTTCTATGTAAATGTCTTATTATATTTGTAATTTTTCTCACATAGCTGTAGGATATACCTTGACAGTGAAAGGAGAACCCTCAACATGATGGTCAGCGAACTTAAGATTGATAATATAATATCCTGGCTCCGTGGGCTTGTAGCTGATGGCCAGGACACCATCCTTGCTGTCTGCGCACTGTATCTCAGCCTTGCTAGGACCTGATGGAGAAATGCATTAACGAATAAATGAGAGATAAAATTGTATTATAAAAAATATTAATAAGTCATTTACAAGAAAATATTAAATATAAGTTAATGAATTTCATAGCTACACAGTCGATTTGGGAATCAAGTCGACAAACGGACCTAACCCATTGAAGAATTTAAGTGCTGAAAAAAAATGTTGGTCATGGAAGGACATGTACAAGTTAAATTATATAAATTAGGAAAATTTAGAAAACGGCTTGTCACTAAACGACAAAGGTGATATTATACTACAAAAAAGAAGAAACATAGTTTCGAACTCTTTTCAATGCAAACAAAAAATCAAATCTTCCTTCTTTATAATCTTAGTATAGATGTGACTAGTTTTATGCACGTTTCTTGATTATGGCTTACCTTCAATGGAAAGTGATAGACCGCCATATCCAGCGTTTCTGGTGTCCACCGTGAATGTGTTATCACCGTGTGTTTTGCCTTCCTTCAAAGCTGTGCCGGAAACCTATTGGAGCGATAAGTAGACATGTATTAAATAATAAATTTGTAAAATTACAACGAATAAACTAAAAATGAAAGAAAATTATTGAATTTGTTAACAATAATAAATGTAGCTATTAACTAGCATAATACATTGTGGAAAGAAATCGAATTGAGTGAACTCAAACTTAATCCACTCCAAATAAGGGGCCATCCATAAATTACGTCGTGGACGAACTGTGACATTAGAACAATATTAAGTTGTATAGACAAACATGTGACAGGAGGGGGGGGGGGGGTTTAAAATCATGAATTTTGTGTGACGTAATTTATGAACTGCCCCTAATGGAAAGTATGTTACTATAATAATAGTGGCATAGTTTACAATCGATTCCAAGAATCGTAACCATGAATATTTAAAACAATCGTCATAATAGACCTTTGGTTTCTTTCCTTCCTCGTTTCATACAAATAAATTGAATTCAATTCTTATTAAACACAAATATATAATATAAATAAAACCACACAATTCTTATTTCTAAAAGAATAAATATATCACTCACTTTAACTTTTTTAGCGTCACCAACTTCCTGGTCCTGTACGGTGATATTGAAGGGAGAGTTCTGAATGTGCACACCCATCTTCTTTACCGACACAATATGCTGACCAGCTTCACGGGGTGTGAAGCTAATACCAATGTTGCCAGATGGCAGTTTCTTGAGGAAACAAGGTTCTTCTAGACCTGATGGTGCCTGTAATAGTTATAATAGTAGTTATCATTAAAAACACATACAAATTAATATGATATTAAAGTAAGAAGAATATTAAAGTACCTGGATTGTAGCGTTTAGACTGCGGATTTCATTGTCGCTTACTTTGCCCGGCAGAGTCACCTCACTGCAGCTTCCAACGGATATTTGATTCCTTTTACGACCTTCACCCGTCACCTGAGATTATACAAGAAAATAGAAATATTATTGATCCACTATTATTTTGAAAGAAAACAAATTTAAAACGGAAAAATATAAGGAAAATTGAGTTTACTGAAACTTAAATCTTTAACTGTTTTTTATTGGACGATGTTCAAAATGTATTTTAATTTAGCGACTTAAACAGTTATGTAGCAACTTCTAGACACTAAGAGTGACGCTACGGGAACGTCTTATGATGCATAATTGTTTTTTTTTCAATATTTTGACGTTTTGAACTTTGATTATTATTAACAACACCGGCTTTGAAGGTTCATCTGTTTTTGTAGGCACTAGAAACTTTTGTTAAAATATCACAAGTGTTTTTATTTTTCTCCTTAAATTGACTAAAGACGTAATTGACCCTTGTCTTCAATTACGTCCTTAATCCATTCAAGTAATCTGAAAAGATAACAGACTTGTGTGTGAAAGTTATTACCTTAGCGATGAAGGGTGATCCTTTAATGTGTTTGTCTCCGAATCTGATGGAGACTTTGTACTCTCCAGGTGCAGTGGGAAGGTACGATACTGCTACTGTACCGTCTTTATTGTCATGGCATGTGATCTGAAATGAAGTAAACAAGATATTTCAAGATTCTTCTGCTAAATTTGGCTACACAACACACCGTCATTTTCCATGGATTTTGAAAATATTATTATATATACATCTTAATTCTTTTAAGGAAACGAACGCCTTTTTGTACCAGCTAAATTATTCTAAATGTATCTATAAGTTAAATTTCATTTAATTCCGTTCCGTTGGTTTTACTTGAAAACAGAACTTCGGACATACAAATTTTCTCATATATAATAGAAAGAAAGTAGTCAGTGTAAATGAGTTAAAAAGTAATAACAATAAAAGACAATACCTCAGCCTTGCTAGGTCCTTCAACGGCCATAGATAAGCCACCAGCGCCAGCGCCCTTGGTGCTGATGGTGAACTGGCTAGGCTCACCGCTCACTCCGCTGGTGAGACCAGGTCCATAGGCGGTGACGTAGCCAGATGCGAGGGAGTCAACAGTAAACTTATATGGGGATCCTAGAAAGAGAATAGTAAAGATTAATTCTATCTAAGATTAGTAAGGGTAATGTAAGAACATGGACTTGTTCTCTGTGTCATTCTATATCATAACGCAAGGCTGAATTGATAGATATTATCGAATGCAGATGTAGACAAGAATAGTATAATATATACCTTTTAACGTGCGGATTAGCTTGTAATAATATATTTTAGCCACCGGTCTGAAAAATAACCTTTATGAAAATTGGTTTACACAAATCACAAATTCACTATCCTATCTATCGCTATAAAATTTTATGCGCAAAGTGGTATGCTATTTAGCTTCTTCTAAGTTGCACAAACTATAGAATCATAAAAATACGTCACTTCTCGTAATGTGGAAGGTGACTCTGAATTTAATTTAAAAGTAGAGAGATCTGTCAGGTGTAAGATCATCTAGCCCATCAGCGGGGCCACCTCCAAAGGAATTGACTACTTCCAAAACATCACGTGAGTCTGTCTGTAAAAATGAATCGGGAGGAATAGGAGGGTCTGGAAATTTAGTGCGTGGCTTAAAGGTGGATATTTGATTTCGAGGGCTTTAACACTTTCCGGAATTAAAAGTTGAAATAAAATGACACACCTTGAACATGTTCGCCATTGTACTTGACGAAGAGCTCATGGATTCCTTCCTCTCTGGGGTCGTAGCGGATGCTAACGGTGCCATCCCTGTTATCCTCAATAATGGGCTGGTCCACGTGGCCGCTCGGCATTTTTACTTCAGCTGTGATAATAAAATTATATATATCTTATTAAAAATGAATCGGGATACAATACGATTCAAATAAATATTTTCAACGTTTATACAATAACTTTAAAAGGTTCCATATGTTAATGACGTATTTTTAATAATTCCCTAACTTCAGATAATATTATCTAAAGCCAATTGAGAACTAAAAAAATAAAGTTGCCATATGTCCTGGTATCTCCGGATTTGCTCTAGATTGGGCATTAAAAGGCTATGAGAGCCCAAAAACAGTTTTGCATATTGTCAGACATATAAACCTTTATACAATTTTACTAAAACTCGCTGCCACCTGTCGAATGTTGCAGATGCAATCACAGACATCCTACAAATATATCCAAGTTTTACGATAAAACAATTTGAGATTTTAAATTTCTTTTCCTAGTAACAGAGATTACAGATGGCAACCCATTTCATAAACAATTTTTTAAGTAAATCCTTAAATAAAACGTTTATACACAAACCTTTCCTCGTATCTACGTAGTAAATAGTGATAAAATTCAATGGAGTATAATTCAGTCCCTGTCCAGTCTTGTTGAACGATATCTGATGAGCTTCCGAGAACACTATAGGAACTTCCTCCTTATCGATTTCCGATACCGATAGATATTTTTTAAAACTGTCAAAGTAGAAACTGGATATTTCACTCCAAGTGACTTCCTTCTCGTTAATTCCAACGATCGAGTTCCATAGATCAGTCATAAACGCCATTTATCAAATATATTCACAACACTTTTGGGAGAACAAGCTTGAGTACATGTGCAGTGTGGTTAGTCTAAATTCATAAATCCTTGTGTCAATTAATCGATGTTACATCTATTTTGTGTTTAGTTGTGTGTGGTGAAGGCCCGTTTAGACGGATTTGTTTATAACGTTACTAATTGATTGAATCTAAGTACGAGGTAAAATACAAAAGTATACAGCATCAGTCATCCACAGGTACAAAAAAAAATACAGTTTTGGCCCTAAATGAGACCCTTGCAGTACTCAAAATTATCGTGATCTCTATATGTATACTCTAGTAAGATCCAGGCTAGTAAGATTCATTGATACAATGAATACTAGTTTAAAATCTTTACATGTTCCTGTTTTCTTACAGTTTGAATAAAACCCCAATATCTACTTTATCCTACTGTATCTACCATTACCTGGCAATTTATAAAAAAATATAATAATCAGTTGATTAGTCATTTCTATTCTAAATGGGCAAAAGCTTATATCCTATATTTATCAAAAGAAAGGAGCTCTTTTAACGAGAATTAGAGATAAAAAAAGCAGCGTCTTTAAAATTATAGTCTTCATAAAGATGAAAAATATTGTAAACGAAACAGTAATCTAATATGAAGATCCATAAATTTGTATACAAATCATATACATATTTTTCATCGCACCAAAATTACCAAGTTGTTTACAAGATTATAAGCAAGCATTTAAACACCGGTATGATCCATGCATTCAAATGCACAAAACAAATCCGTCTAAACAGAATCTCGTGTTGAAAAACGTGATCTATTTTTAATAAAATGTTATTACTTTAAATACAAAAAACACTTGGATGGATTATAATTTATATATCCGAATTGTTTAGACATGCGTAGTCATAGTTCTTAAATTAAATCCAACACTGTTACGTCATTATAAAAATAAATATATATAATGTATATAAATTCCACATTTTTATGTGATAGAATTGACGTTAGTATCATAAAAATTGTTGGCATGACGCCGTTAAATTATAAAGTGTGACAATAATATATGTTTGGTAAATTAATTGCGTGGACGAATTTATATTTACCTTTGGTTATCAGCTTTAATATTATTTAATGAAGCAGCCGTTAAGCACAGCGCTATCACACGATAGAGGTTCAATGAAATACAACATTTATTAACTTCTATAGGTTTTGTTTCATTCAACCTCTATGCTGTGACAACGTTGTATTTGTCGTCTAGGGCAACACTGATTTTATCTCAGAAAACCACTGCAGATGTCGGACAGACATACGAGTGTTTGAAGTTTTTAATTAATGGACTGTAAGTATATTTATTTGGATATGACGTTAACCGATTGCTGATATGTGACATTTTTATACTGTTACGACAAGAAATAAACAGTCTGGGATGTTTTGAACGAAAGTAGGTATTTTATAGTTTTTATTAATTATTCATTTCCAATGTATGTACTATTTTCTGAGCATAAATATATTGTTTTCCAATTTCAAATTTGGGTTCACTCTTGTGTTCTTTAATATAATAAGTTTGCGTACTGATATTCTAGTTGTATAAATGTTTCTTCTTCTTCTTCTTCTTCTAGTTGTTTACATAATTGAAAATGCCGTTTGACGAACTTTTTGGGCTTAATTTTTATAGTTATTCTAATTTAGTATAAGACAAATAGAATTTGCCATGGTTGTTTTGATATCTTTTATTCTGATTGATGCCGACGAATTCAGTGAAAACGTTTTGTCATATAAATTAGGGGTGGCCTTCAATTCATGACTTAGGGATTTCAAAAATAAATACTAACCTAATCTCAGGCTTACTCAATAAACAAAATACTTCGGAATGCTTCGGAGGAGTAAGGTTACTTAAGCTATGAAACCATAATTTTATATATTTAGTGTAAATACCTATAGAAACCGTACCATTTAATTTACATAATTTTTTATATGTATTCATGAACATTATTTGACTTTGATTAATTATCGTATATTCTATTCAGTCATCATCGAGTATACGTTTTTGTAAACATATAACTCAAGAATTTATTACAAATTTTATAGCGACTTCGGATTATTTTGTCTATATTTTTTTTGGATTACTTCTTCAATCTAGTGAACTGGAAATGCACCGAGTATCTGATTCGACCATATGCAATTTTTTTTCTTAGTTTATTTTTAAATCTGTATGACAGCATTATGTATTACTAAAGTATTTTACACTATAAAATAAAGTAAATTAAATTGCCTTCGAATAATTTAAAAAAGAAGTCCGCTTTACACCTTGTTTATAATATATTTAGTGCTAATTGCTTTTGTGTTATATCCAATAAAATAATAAATTCAAAATTCCCTCAAACTTTACATTTATATAGCATATTGTGTATATATCGTATATCATGTTATTATTTTTTATTTCTTCACTGTCATGTTTTGTAGTTTATAATAACAGAACTATCGCCACTGTTTCTGAGTTTCTGATTTCAATGACACACCATTGCGCTAAATAACTTTAAAATTTAATGCACTCAAATAAGTTTAGATTGAGAATAATATATTTAAAAAGGAGAGAATAGATAAAAGCGTTGTCATTTCTAAAACGTCATAATTTCACAGCGTATTCCTTCAAACATGGCTAAACCTGAATTGTTTCGTCACATTGTATTAAATACGTTATTTCTAATATACCAACCTCATTACAACACATTTATCAAACCAACGCGTCCCACCACATTTGTCTACGAATTAATTTATACATTGGCCACATGCCTATCATAACACAAGAGATTGATGCATTAACGCTTGTTTGCTATTAAAATGGCTCAATTCTAACAACTAATATTAACTATAAATACTTTGTAAATAAAAATCACCACTTTGCATGTTCGAAACAAAATAAGTTAAGATCTTATTTTGTTTTGTTTGATTGTGGAGGATCATTGCAAGGGCAGCATTGTCCAAATCAGAGGATACTTAAAATAAAAAAAGAAAAGATGTATTATATTTCAAAGATTAAATGTAAATAATATGCTTCGAAACTACTGAAACGATTTCCCAAATTCTTTCACCTACGGGAAGCTTCATCATACTCATTATATGATAATTAAGAAAAACAAAAAGGCTGTACTCAAAGGTTTTAACCTTGGATTTTTACTAACATCATCATCATATAATGCTGCACGCGTAGCATGACGAACGAGAGACGCGAGAAACGGGCTTAGAGTGGAATTGACCGCAACAATGTCTCTCTCTTGGTGTAGAACTCGCCCGCTTCTCGAGTCTTTCTAGATCGTTAATTCGCTCATTTCTCGAGTCTCGAGACCTTTGGATGGGATGAAAAAGAATAGAGATGTACCATACCATACACGGGTACAGGTACCATACAACATAACTCAACATGCGTTTGCCCACCATTGAATTAACGAACGCAAATCCAACCGGGACCAACGACTTAAGGTGCCTTCCAAAGCATCGGAGCTCGAGATAATAAAATTTCAGTCACCCATCTTATGACCGGCTCATATTAAAGTTGCTTAACTTCTTCACTGCGCGATTGAGCTCTTTTATTAACATACATGCTTTTTAGTTACTACATTATAACATTCAAATATTTGTATGTGGACAAGAGAAATGCTAGGATTGCCATTTAAATTTATATTTATTACTTAATGTAATAAAAAAAATTGTCTATTTTAATCGCAAAACATCATAATACGTTTATTTATTTGTTAATAATTATGTAAATTAGAAGTAAATATAACCTAAATACCCAAATACAAATGACTAAAATCTTAATCCGTTATTCACACATCATTATAATATTGTAGCATAGTTCCTAAAGCTTCTGAGCCAACTCAAAGAATGCCTACACGAAAGTTTCGTCTTGTTTCTTTTGAAGATTTTTATGATTCACGGTTATAAATCATTTATCTTCATCTCTCTCTTTTCTGGTTATAATAATCTAAGATATACCTCAATAAAACTAGGATAATGATATGCGATACACAGCCAGTTGCACAAACCTCTATTAAAATTGTCATTAATTTAAAGCGACATTACCCATACATATTTGACATTTATTAGGGCTTAAAGGGGTCATTGAACCTTAATGGATATTTGTGCAACTGACCGTTACTTATTCTTTTATTATGTTTAAAAATAGTTTTGTTCGAGTTTATCTTTTTGCGATGCTATTCTTTTAAAAACAGCAAAGAACACGATATAGAGCTTCAATGAAGTAAAGCCTCTATTACTTTAACATTCACTGTTACGATGATTTATTTCAGTGTCACTAGATGGCGGTAAAATGTTAACTACATGGTTAATTATTTATGACACAGTATCTACTTAGATTTTTTTGTTACAATGAACAAAGTCATAAAAAATATAAATATGTTATTTATTATTAATTTTAATGATGATAATACAAAAATTTTGAATCCGCAATTGTTGATGACGCCATCTAGTCTCCTTGTTGATGACGCCATTTAGTCTCCGCCATGTTATCACGTTTTCTATTATATTTGCTTTACGTTCCCATCGAAACACGACACAGAAAGTAAACAAATTAAATTTAGTAAAAGATGTATTATAATTACCGCAAAAAAGTCAAAGATGTTAATATAACAAGTTACAGGTTATAAAATAAAAATTTTCTTAGCCAAACATTACAATTTTTAAGGGAAAATGCTTGAAAAAAAAACATCAATTTCTGGTACTCCGAGTCCTATCTCAATATAGTATTTTGAGTGCAAAATTGACCAAATAGAATAACTGCAATAAATATTTAAAACTCAAAAGCTCAAAATTCCCTTAAGCATACTAACTACTAACTTTATATGAAGAAAAAAGTGTATATTTTTTGAGTTTGTAAAAGAAATGTATTTTTTTTATAATAAGAAACAGCTTCAAATGTATCTGTACTTAGTAATTTCCTTTTTCTATTGATTCCCTACGAGTGATAGGTAAAGGAATGTCTGGTGTGCTTGGGGGGGT